TACTTCATTTTAAATCTAAAACCAGCGAAATTCAAGACAAGAGAATTTGACCACTAAAATTACAGATACTTAATGAGCGAAAATTCGGAGAATCCCTAAGTTCTACAAAAAAATTATTTTTATAGCGCGTTTGACGACCATCTTTAGTGAAATTCAACAGAAGATATCTTCTTTTGAAGAACATGCGTCATTTTGACGAGAGTTCAACAACTTCACATTAAAATGAGTTGTGTGTTCGATGAACAAGTTCAATGAGTGATTTAACAATAGACAAAATAAAAGAAAATAAACTCAACTTATTGTAATGTTCAATAGTTATGCGTGGCTCGTGACCATGTGCAATTGTTAAACCACCTTAAGTTGCACGTTATTTTTATGTTAGTTACGTATTCGTTAATTCATTTATTTGATATTAATTAATTGCAGCGTCAAAACGTATCACACAATATTTACGTACGTGTTGTGTATTTATGAATATTGTTGCGTTTATTATATCGCAAGTGTATATTATCGTAACAAGTAGTATATTGGACATTTGAGTCCGAATATCGTTCCCACGAGAACTATACTTTATCTCTTAATCAGAATGTTTTCTAACTCTTATTTGATTAAAAGCAAGTAAATAAATATGATGGTTGTGATTATTATTTTTAACTACTTTTAACTAATTAAAACTATAAAAAAATTGCAAATAACGGATAATTGAAAATTCAAATATGTGATGAATATTAGGGAATATCAGTTTTATCTATTGATCACCTTAATTCTTAATTCAAGATTCATAATTTAATGTAGTATTCGTTCGAATTCTTCTATTGTATACAATTTACAATTCTTGAATTCTCATTGAGCCTATTTAACTAATTAAATTACATATCTCTATGTGAATCAACCATAGTTAAACGAAACACTAGTTCTAATAATTCATATTCTAACCGCAATAATTAGTATATGCATTTCTACACGTTATACTAATTTACCGAATTTTATCATAAGAGACTCACAAAATCATCAAATTATTGATCAGGTAATTTAATTCATTAAACTCATAATAAAATCAACACATAAATAAACAAATCA